AATTTGACGATTGGAATGAATATAACTGGATTTACCTTTTAAATATTGGGACTGATCATAAGACTCGCACGCCATTACAGAGTAGACCAATGTTGAGTCCCGCAATACTCGCACCCCATAGCCCAATCTTCAGCATTAACGTTGCCCAAATAAAATGTTTTAAAAACGAATATGAAAATATTTAAAGGAAACTATAGAAATATTAGGTAGAAAAGTTATACTCCTATACAATATTTTCCTAAAGCGAATGAGATTTCATGCACTCTTACTTTTATCCTAATAATGTGTGTATACGGTTAAAACCTATGCTCGGTCATGAAGATCGATCGAGGATGGCATTTCAATCAAGGGGTATCTTCATGGAGACCCCGAACGAATTCCGAGATGGGGGCGTTGAGCTCGGGCGTTCGAGTCGACCGAGATAACATCGACCGATACAGGTCCCGAACATCGATGCCCAAAAGTGATCACCTAGCTCGAAACCAAGGCCGAGGTTCCGATCCGATACCGAGCTCGAGTCGGTATCGAGTTCACAGACAAAAAGTTGATACAACCGCACCAAAGGAGAGAATCTATGCGGGAATTAAGGAGGAGACACACCATCATGGGACCTCCACTAGTAATATTTATTCCATCATGTTGCTATAGATAAAGTAGTGATCCTTGGTTATAAAAGGAAAGATAGTTTGTAATAGAAGACACTTTTTTGGCTAGGATTAAGAATTCATTGTGTTTATCCTTCTAAAGATCACTAAATATCTTTGTTCATCATCTTCTATTCTTGCACCATAAATACGTGTATTGTTATTTTCAGATCAAAGGAATCTACTTGCCCTTAGAACCATACATAAATTCAACGTTATCCGATTTTTCGGGTAAACAGTTTGGCGCCCACCGTGGGGCTAAGGATAACAAGTGATTATTTGATACAAATATACAGTACACTCCAGCTTACAACTTCATACCAGCAATGGCTCCGCCAATCGACCTCGAAGCCGGCCTTCGGGATGAAACCAACAACTCGGTGCCCGCGACCGAAAGGCTACCTAACAACGGCAACAAGGCTCGAATCGAGGAACCCGAAATTCGAGCCGAAGTACCAGTAGATATCAATTCACGAATAGCTCTAGAAGCGAATCAACGTTCCGAGCAGGAAAGAAACGTTCAGGGTGGCGCTCGACCCATAGCCCGAGACACCCACAGCGCGGGGAAAATCGGGGTCAGCTTGCGTATGATTTTCGAAATGCTACAAGCCCAACAAGTAGCGATAGCTCAGTTGCAGAGTCAAACTCATATGCAAAGTAATCCTAACTCCAATCCACTTCTTCGAGAAGTAACCCCCAGAACGGAGCCCGACACAGTGAAATCGAATGAGCGAAAATCAGGAACCGCTCCTGAAATTACAAAACTACTCGAGGAACTCACAAAACGAGTCGAAGCCAAAGACAAAAAATTCGAGACATATGATGCTAGGATCGATCAGATCCCGGGGGCTCCGCCCATGTTGAAAGGGGTGGATTCGAAGAAATTCATACAAAAGCCTTTTCCATCGAGCACGGCCCCGAAACCGATCCCAAAAAAGTTCTGTATGCCCGTAATTCCCAAATATAACGGTACGACCGATCCTAACGAACATCTCACCTCCTATACATGTGCCATCAAAGGCAACGATTTGGAAGACGATGAGATCGAGTCCGTATTATTGAAAAAGTTCGGAGAGACCCTTGCAAAAGGAGCAATGATGTGGTATCACAACTTGCCACCGAATTCTATCGATTCTTTTGCCATGTTAGCAGCNCCTACACCAGGTCCTCAAATTCCCAACACCGACAGGTGTCAAAATAGTATACGGAGAACAACCATCCGCAAAGGAAATGTTCTCTGTCGAGGAAGCAAAACCAACATCCTCGTCTACGCGAGTGAATGGATCGGGTTCAAAAGGAAGGACAGTCGAAGACCGGAACGCCAAATAGCAATNTGCCACCAGTCACGGACGACTGGGCCGTACAAGCTTTCACCCAAGGGTTGAACGGACTGAGTTCAACAGCATCACATCGGCTGAAACAAAGCTTGATTGAATACCCTGCAATAACTTGGGCGGATATACACAATCGGTATCAATCGAAAATCAGGGTCGAAGATGATCAATTGGGATTTCCGTATGAACCCACGCGTCAGAACCGCGCAACCACTAAAATTCTGAAGGAAACCAACAGAGAACAAAGGTCAAACAGAGACCGA